CCGCGATTCTTGGCACCTGCGGCCTTAGGATGAACTCTGTCGCATGATAAATTTGGGGGTGGGGTAGAGTGGTCCTCATGTTTCCACCGGACCCAGACTGGGACCCGGGGCAGAGAAGCACCAGCGTCCGAGCCCTCTAGTCCTGACCTCTCCAATCACAGCATGCCCTGGCCTTCCTCCTGGAGGAAGGGCCCACCAGATGGATTCCCCAGCAAGGATATCAGCCCCACCCCTGCAGCGAGAGCCCAGGACCCCACCTCCAGTGTCCCCAAGCCCGGACCCGGCTGCCACAAGCCCAGGGACATTACTGCACTGCTGGACCACTCCGGGCCTATCCATCCAAACATGGTCTGGCAACTCCGAACCAACACCGCCCCCTCCACCCCCGAATTAGTCAGGTGACAGGGTGAAGCCCCACAGGGTGAAGCTCTTGGGTGGGCCACAACCCTCCATTTCTGTGCTTGAAAGCAGAGGCTGGCACCTAGGTGGAGAACCTTAGGTGGATTGCTTGAGGGACGCCGTGAAGGCTCAGAGGGGGTGAGGCGTCCAGACCACGGAGCTGTGCAGGCTGGGAGCGGGATCAGACGTAACTGGAGGCTGGGCCCCAGCAGCAACCCCCTTCCCGTCCCCTGTCCCCTGCCCTAGCTGTCTCGACTAACACTGCAGGGTGTGGCTTGAGGGCGAGCTGGGAACAAAATGGGTGGGCTCTGGGGCTTCCTGTTCCTGCAGGGACAGGTCCTGGCTTGGGTCTGTAGCTGTACGGCGAGTCTCTGGGTGATACGGTGGTGTATTAGCTCTAACACAAAGCCAGCGTGCCGGGCATAGTTGGTAACGGAATCCCTATGTAGGCGCTGGCACCTCTCTCATACTCCTTGAGGTGTTCCCCCGCGGGACTGGAAGGCGCTGCAGTGGGGAAGTCTTACGGCTGATTCTGGCCTCGGGACTGCTGGGGATCCGTCCGAGTCTCCTGCTTACAGGCTGGGCACACCCTTTCCTTCTGGCAGATGTTGTCTCCTTTGTTAAGTAGGAATTAAAATACCGACTCTGGAGCCTGATGTTGGGCAAAGTGGACCCTTGCATGTGAAGCTGTGTTTGAAATTGGATGGCCTGTTGGTGCTTGATTTTGGGATCAGATCTCTGTGAGAAGAGTGGGATCGGGGTGTGTGTGTGTGTGTGTGTGTGTGTGTGCCTGTACGCACGCGCTGCCTGTGTCTGTGACCCTCAACCTTTGGACTCCACATGGAGGACTATCTCTTGGTCTTGACACATTCCTTTTCTCTGCTGATGTTCCGCAGAGTTTCGCGAAGTCAGACACTCCCGTTTGCCCCGCCGCCCTGGGAGAGCTTGCCGCCTACTGCCTAGTCTCCATCTCCAATCACCTTCCTCTGGTTAATCCCGTACCCGATCAGGCCATTCTTAGCTCTCCCCTGTATGTGCTGTATCTTCCACACCCCTGGCTAGCTCCCCTCCGGCCCCCGACCCTCGAGGCCCCTTCCTCCAAAGCCTTGTTCTCTGGGGTCACCAGCCGTTCCTCACGAGAAGTGACTGATTCTGGCAGATGGCACCTGTCTCCCTCAAGTGGTGGCTGTTCAAAAGGTGTGACTTGGCAAGTGAGAGAGCCCACCCCCTTAAGCTGCCTGCCCTTGGGCAAGGAGCCTTCCCTCCCCGGGATGCCATTGCACCCTCGGTTCCGATCCAGGGAGGGCGGGACCCAGCTGTCCTGTGAAAAATGCCTTGCTATGTGCACCGTGCCTTGTTTCCACGTGTGCATTTATTGTTATTGCTCAGTATAGTGTCGAAAAGGCAGACAGATCCCATTCATTACAAAGAGCACAAGCCAGAGATACAGAGAAATAAAGAGTGTACAATAAGACACAGTCACTTCCCAGCCCCGGTGGTCCCCGAGGCCCCCAGAGCCCGGACAGCTTGTGGAAGCTGGAGGCGGCACCATTTCCTTGCTAGTCTGTTAGAAAATAAGTGCACACAAGAGTTAGCAAAGTGTGGTGACCCCGAGAGGAAGGTCCAGAGGGCGAGCACCACAGGCATCACAGAACAGACCTGGGGCCGAGAAGGGCCGTCCCAAAGCAGCCTCGATACCTTGTTTTGGGTGGAGGGGGTGATGGCTGATGCCCAGGGCCTGGGGTCCCCCTCCCCCAGTTTGGGTGGGCAGGATCTCTACGTCAACGTCAGGAGAGTCCTGGAACTTGGACAAGATTGGGGATTTTCTGCTTTCGTTGAATGGAGGCCTCGATTCTGGAAGGCCCCGAAGCCTTCTAGGATTGCACCCTCCCCCGTCTCGTAATGGCGGGATCTTGCTCGTGAGAGAGCCTGCGGGTGGGCAGGACATCAGCACCCACTGGTGACAGCCTGCTGGGAGCAGAGCAAGGCGTACGGGCAGCTGGAGTGTGAGATGCCCAGGCAGGACTGGGTGCCCCCCGAGGGCCTGTCACACCTCTGCTGAAATGGAGTCAAGAGCCAGAGGTGACCCTCCCTCCCCCCGAAAAGCGGTTCAGTAAAGGGGGGTGGGAATACGTGTTTCTCCGGGAGGCGATCAGAGAGCTGCACACCTGGGCCCTGCGTGCTGGTACTTCTAGGTCTGGGGGGGGGACCCCTCTTTCTCATCGCACCAGGCCCGCGGGGGCGTCCGCTGAGCACAACGGGGAGAGTGATTTTAGGTTCCAGAGTGATTGGCTGGGGGCTCAGCAGCCTTGCGCTGCTCCCTGGCTTGGGCTGTCCAGCTTAGAGGCCCCCAGGGTCCCCTAGAGCAAGCTCACCCAGGGCAGGGCCAGTGGGGGTGGGGGGTTGGCGGGATTCTCACGTTTATTTGGAGGAGCAGGATACACATAGAATAGGATTCACAGCCCAGGGCATTTTGTTTGTAAAAAGAGGGGGGTAGTGAAGGGTTCCTGTCCCACCACACAGGAAAACTGGGTGACGATGATGAAAGCTGGGTGACTGGTGCCAGGTGAGGCACCCCGATCAGGGAGCAGACGAGACGTCCCAGAACCAGAGTCCAGGCCATCTGAGGCGTGGTGTGGGGATGGTGCGTGTCGACGTGGTGGGAGGAATGGCTACCAAGTAACTGGGGTACTCCCGGGAGGGGTCCACGGCCTCTTTGCCTTGGGGGGGGTGTGGGGAGCGGGGTGACCTCCCTCTCGGCAGCTCTCTGCTCTGGCTGGAACCGAGGTGGCCCCGCAGTGGGGTGAGGGCCCGAGGGAGCTGCAGACAGGGCTGCTGCTCAGGAAGACACGGCCCGGGGGCAGGAAGGAAAGTTGCCGTTTCCTCCCTGCCCACCTCCAAGGGTGTGGCTCCGCAGCCCTCATGGCCATGGCGTGGACCCTGGCTCTTCCCTTGGCCGTGGGGGGGCGAGCTCAGGCCTCTGACCCGAGCCTGCTGCCTTGACCTGGAGCCCTGCAGGACGGAGGAGGCAGTGCTCCGAGCCAGAAGGTAGAGGGGAGGGGAGTCTATCACTGTGCTCCGTTTGATGCTGCCCTCTCTCCCTTGTTTTTTACAAACCACAGACATTTCAGAACTACCGCGGCAGCAGCAGCAAGAGTCAGCAATCAGAGGTGTTGCCATTGCATAGTATTAAATGAACAGAGACGGTGAGCTCTTTATTTACAATTATTGTCTAGATAAAAAAATTCATAAAAACAGATGAATGGTCATAAATTATTTACCCCCTACTGGGGTGAACTGCCAAACGTACCCCATGCTGCTAGATACAGGGCGGAGTGCAAGCTTTATGTTCTACAGTGAGTGTTGACAAACCAATCATTTCCCGTGTGCGAGCGGGTGTGTGCCGAGAGTGAGTGGGCTGTGTGCGTGCGTGTGTGAGCATTCCTGACCCGGAGAGACGCCGGGGCAGGGGGCCGTGGGCGCCCCGGGCTGGGCTCCGTGGGGACAGCCTTCCCGCTCTCCTCACCTCCTGGCTCCCCGACCCGGGGCGTGGTTTGCCAGCGTGGCTTTCCCGGGTCGTGGAATGAGGTCGCAGACACAAGACTGGGGCAGAGCAGGGGGCATGGGAAACCTCGAGAAAGGAAACGACAAAACCCCACGTGCCTCTGAGGCCGGCCTCCGGCCCCTGCGGGAGAGGCGGGCTGGCCCCGGCTGCGGCTGCGCTCCGCTCCGGGAAGCCTCGACCAGGCCTGGCCACCGCTTTGGGGAGCAGCTTCCTCTGCTGGCTGCATCCGGAGAGTTCTCTTCAGGACACCCAGGCGGCGCTCTCTCCCAAAGGTGCTCCTTCCGGGCAGGGGCCGGGTGGGCTGGGCTGACAGGTCCCGCACCGTCGGGTCCTCCTGCCAGCGGACTATGGCTCTATTCCCGAGTGGCTCTCATCTTGTTGATGGAGGAATTCTCTGGGCCTGGAGAAGGGACGGCCCGGCTGACTCGGGGCCCACGGTGGGAAGGGTCGGGATGAGGGATGGATTTCGCAAGCGAGGCGGAGAGTGTTTGGTTTTTTTCTCGAAGCATGGGACACCATCGATCATGGTATTCAAAATGTCTTTTGCACTGTACAAGTTTATGGAAAAAGATCGTATGCTGAAAAGTCTCAAAGCAAACTTTGTATTAAATACAAAAGTTCTTTTATGAAAAAAGCTGATACCCACAAAGTGCTTAGCAGTTAAGAGGCTGACATACAATTAAATAAGCTCTTAGTAAGTGGGATTGCTAGTGCTGTTATTGTCTTGGGGGGAAAAATAACCACCTTTTCTCACCTGTGATACTGTAGGGTTTCTGAATGGCTTTCTGTCTGGGAAAGCAAGGTTTGCTGTTAAAAGGCTACAGTATATATTGCGACTACAGGAAGACAATTTGGTTTAAAAAGCACACTGAATACATCTCAATATACACATCATAAGGTTCGTTCGGATCTAAATAGTGCAGAGAAAAAAGGCTATTCTTCTTCCAAAATCAAAGTAAAAGCAGCAAGCCGAAATGACCCTCCTCCCCAACGCCAGCAGCCCGTGACGCTGCCGTTTATAAGGAACTAAACCTCTAAATTACTGACTGAAAAAAAGGAAAAAAAGAAAGCCAACACAACAGCGCTTGTAATATTGCAACACTACCTCCATCTCTGCACAGACAGTGCCAGAGAGGACCTCTGGGTGCTCTCGGTAAACCCCAGCGAGCTTCATTGAGAGAAAAGTCTTCCCTGGTGCCGTGCGGCCCGACCCTGCCCGGCCGGGGTGTTCTCTCCTCCTCTCCCTGTGTCTACGGAGCAGCGCGGCTTACGGGGCCTTGGGCTCCTGCCTGAGCCTTCCGGGTAGTGACGGCATCGAACGGAAGCAGTAGGCAGAAATCAGAGCGTGGCCGTGGTTGGTCAGACGCGGGGGTGCGATCCAGGCAAGCGGCTGTCGGCCGAGCGGGCGGCGTGGCCTCCGGCTGCCAGCGTCCTTCGACCATACAGATAGCCAGAGACGCTAGCTACGGGCTTGTAAACAAATTACATTCTTCTCTTAGGACATAAATAAGTTAAAATAGAGCAATTTAAGCGGAAACAAGGCAACATGCCGGCAAAGAAACTTTATATATATATCCATGTATATATATTCATATATATATATATATATATCTACCCATCTATATGGACGTATACAGCCTCCGAGAAGTATACGTGGATATAGATACATCGAAATGGATATAACCTTGTGAGTGTCTATGAAGTTCTTCCGTTCCATTGGTGCAAATCTACGAGGCGAGTTAAGCTCTGCGGTTTTAAAAAGTCGGTGAATAAACCTATAGACAACGGAGCCCATGCTGAACAAGCATCTCAGAAACTCACAGACCAGCGGGTTGGATAAATAGTCTCAGAAAAGAGTCAGTCTGCAGTTCCCGCCTCAGAGAAAACGAACGAACGGACGGACGGAAGGGCCCCTCCCGGCCCCTCCCCCCGGACCAAACGGGGAGGGTGGGAAGGGAACAGACATTCATGCAGGGTGCGGCCTGGGCTAGGCGGTGCATGGCTGGTCCTCGGCGGGCGGCGGGCGGCGCGGGCCAGGGGGCTGCTTCGGGAAAATCGCTCACTCCCTTGAGCCCCCCAGGAGACCCCTCCCCTCGCCTCCAGGTGAAAAAGAGTTCAAACAGCATCGCAGCCAGAGAAAGGGTCCGTGGGGTGGAAACGTCGTTCTCGCCAGTATTTGGTTTCCGGTGGTTGCTCGCTGCTGTCTGGGTGGGTCGGGGGCCTGGATGGGTGGGTGCCGGAGGCGCGGCGCGGCCGTCAGCTAAAGCGACGTCTCCAGGCTGTGGATGGGGCTCCCTGGACTTGAAGAGGTAGCTGATTTGCTTGTGTCGGTCGTCAGGTTGATCCCGCTGTCGATGGCGCTGTTGTTCTTGTTCAGCGAGGAGGGCGGGCTGGAGTTCTGCTTGAGCGCGGCATCTTCTTCCAGGTCGGTGTCGTCGATGAGGGGGATGTGAGGCTGCGAATCTTCGATCCGGAATTCAGGGTGAGCCATGAAGTTATGGATGGAGGTTCGAGACTCGGGCTTTTCTAGACCTTCGTAGAGAGAGCTACGGAACGCCTTCACCACGCGGATCTGCAAGGGAGCGCGGGGTGAGCGGCTCTGCCCCGCGGGGGGTGGGGGGGCAGCCAGGCTCTGGGGGCGCGAGGGGGCCGGTGGGGGAGAGGAGCCGGGCACAGCAGGTGACTGGAGTCCACAGTCGCTGGGGTGAGGAGCGGGGACAGAAGGGGGGGCGGGAGAGCGGACTCGGCACCCGTGAGGTTTGGGGGGCACTTTGGCTGGGCCGAGCTACGGTGTTAGGACAGGAGGGGTCGCCGAGCCCCATGACGGGAGGAGCGGGTGGCTCGGGGGGTGGGGCACAGCGCACCCCTGCGGGCGCCCAGACCTCGCCAGACCGAGCCTTGTCGACCTGAGAGCGGAGGCTCCATGCGGGAGGGCTGGGGCGGGTGGCGGAGTGGGGCACAGAGCCTGTTCGAAAGTCACAGCGAGTCTGAACGAAAACCACACGCAGTTAAGGACCACACGACACAGAACGGGGAGGGGCGGCACGAACAGCAGAGGAACAGAGGGGAGACGGTTGGATGAGCGGGCCTGGAGGAGACACACGAGGGCCACACAGAAGGCGGGACGTGGGGCCCAGCGAAGCAAACCGAAGCCAACTCAGGGCTCTCTGGGTGCAGCGCAGAGGCAGCCAGGAAGCGGGAGGAGCCGGCGGGCCCGGGGTGCATGCCACAGGGGGCGGGCGCACGGCACACGCAGACGGACACACGGCCACACGTGGAAGCCTGGACAATGTGAACGGAGGTTGTTCGTAATCAGCGTTTCTTTCCTTCATGCATTTGGGGGGTAAACACTCGAGTATCGACTCAAAGCCCTGGCCGGTCATTGGAGTTGGCCTTGGGGTCCCTTATTTCTTGGGGCGTCTGGTTCCTTTATTTGTGCTTGGACAGCACAAAACCCAAAAAACGTGGCCGAATCCCACGGCCAGCCCCAGCCCTGGGTGGGTCCTCGGGGGAGGGAAGGGGGCCCCAAAAGCACTCGGGGGTGACCCCGCCTTCCCCTCTGAGGGTGGAAGGAGCCTGGACGCTGGGTCTGCCGGGCCGGGAGTCGGGGGACCCAGCCTGCGCCCCGGCCGGGCCTCGGCCAAGTGTGAGCTCCCTTCCTCTGCCGTCCTCAGCTGCCTCCTGGGGAGCAAAGGCACAGGCCCCCCGCTCTGAAGACAGACGTCCCTTCTCGGACCCCTGGGAGGGGAGCTTGCCGCCCCTCTCGGGGCCACAGAATGGGCCTCCTCCTCTCTCCCAGCCCTAACTCTGGCGGAGCCCCTGGGCGGGTGGGACTGGGGGAGCCGGGCAGCTCCGAGACCCCCAAGAAGCAGAGTGGAGGCGGGCAGCCTTCCCTCAGGGGAGCAGCCGCACCCCCACCAGCCCAGGGGGACCGGGGACTGGCTGGGGTGCTCGAGGGGAGGCCCTGGCCGCCCAGGGTCGGGCCTCAATGGTGGGCAGGGCCTAGGCAGTGGAGGTGAATCCTCAGATGACGGTGGCCGATGGCTTTGGGGGCGCGGCTCAGGGCTGCCCCGAGTCTTCCACGCACGTGGCCTATCTCCGCTTTAGAACTTAGGGTGCCCAGAGGAGGGCCCGGCCGGAAGTGCCGCCGCTTCCTGCCTCAGTACCCACGGCTTCGGGCTCTTCAGCAAGGTTCTCTCCTCCCTGGGCCACGGCTGCCAGAGCTGACTCTCCTGCTCTTGTCAGGGGCAGCTCTGCCCTCCTGGTGTGGCTGGGAGCTGCCGCTGCAGCTGTGCTTTGAGCAAGAGGCCACCGGGGAGCCAGAGCCGGCCGGGCCCCGGCCACCGCGGCCGAGGCGGCTCCCTGTCTGCGGCTCTGCTGAGTGCTAGGTGTCCTGAGCGCACGCTAAGGGGGTGCCCTTGAGTCAGTGGGGACTGGAAACAGGCGCTGCACCTCAGCTCCCTGGCGGGGACACGGGAGTGACTTAGGCCACGGCGGCCCGGTGGCCTTCGTCACGGGCCGGGCGCCTCGGGCAGGGGCGTGGGGCCCTGTCTGGGACTGACGGCGGGAGGGACGACACACAATGAGATGAGGCCCTGCCCCCCTGGCATGGACACGACAGAAGGGTGCACTGCTCGGGACAAGACTGCGGGACAGACTTCTCGGGACACCCCGCCACGGCCATCTCAGTGTCCACTTCGGTTCTCTCCGCGGCTGAAACGGAAAAAAATACGGGAAGAAAAAAAAAAGCTCTTCTACCTGCCTTCCCTGCTGCCGGGGTGGGGGCGGGGGCGGGGGGCCCGTCTGGGGTGCCAGGCGCTGTGAGGTCACCGGCACAGAGGAAGCAAGGGGCCCGCGGGGGCTTCTGAGGGACCGCCCGGGCCCCGGGCTGGGGGGCTTCAACATACTCGAATGTTTACCCGGCTTCAGGGAAGCCAAGAGTCTGGGACTGATTCACATTCAGGTCAGGCTCAAGGTTAAAGACTCACAACCTCTTTTAATTTCACTCTCTCTTGCTGAACTCTGTGTCCAGGGTTCTCTAGCCCTCTAGGGAAACAAACACATGGAATATTCAGACAGCGCCGAGGTCGGGCCCCCCAGAAGCACGCCGCTCTCTCGCCGGCCCGAGGTCAGGCTACGTGGGCTACCGGCACCCTGACGGAAGCCCAGCCTGGCTCCTTTCGTCCTGTCTCGCGTCTGCCCGGGGTGCAGCCTGCCCGGCGGGAGGCCCCGTCTCGCGGGGCGGCGTCCGGGAGTCTGAGGCTCCCGGGTGGGTCTGCAGGGCCGGGCCTGCCGCGAGGAACACACTGTGCTATCGGAGTGGGGTCCGAGCGGTCAGCGGTCGGAGGGGAGCAAGCGAGGGCTGTGCCCTCGACCCTCACCTGGAAGCGAGGAGCCTGTCCTTGGCCACCCGCCCGCCGCCCTCTCTCAGCGCCTGCCCGGCTGCTGGAAATTCAAGCTGAGAGCAGCGAGCTCGGCCTCGAGGGGGTGGAGGGGCGGCGCCCCACCGCGGTGTGGGCTTGGGTGTTGGGGGGATGTTTGGCCGCCGGCTCCAGCCCGTGGGCCTGCCGGGGAGGCCGTGCGGGTGGTGTCAAGCACAGGGCTTGGACCTCTTGCTGTGTGACCTCGGCCAAGGTGGCTCCTGTCTCTGGGCCTCTGTGTCTGTCACTCGAGGGGATGTAGTGATGGACGTGCCCTCCTATTTCAGCTGTGAGGCACATGTGAGGGGAGGCGTGTGCCCCTCACACACGCGGGGGGCGGGGGGGTGAAGGGGGGGCGAGGGGGAGCCTCACTTCTGGGTAAGTCAAAAGAGAGAAGCGTGAGAATGACCAGAGTTCCCTCCTGAACATTCTGGACTGCGGGCTACGGCCTGCCCCTGCCTGGGCCCCCGGCACACGGGGGTGCCAGGAGGGAGGGGTGACGGGGCTCCTCACCCCAGTGGCATGCGTTGGAAGCCGCCCCAGGCACACGCCTGGCCCCAGGCCCCGTGGGCAGCAGGTCAGGGTCACCCAGGAGACAGCGCTTGACCCCTCAGGGCACGTGGCCCCCCAGTGTTAGCGCAGTGCCCCTGCCACCCTCCACGGGGCCCCCAGGAGGAACCCCCGCTCAGAGAAGGCGGAAGACAGCCCCCCTCTTCGTTCTCTCAGTCGGGGCCACCTCTCTTCCTGGCCACCTGCTTTCCTGCTTGGGCGAGGACCCTGCCTGGCACCTGGGCCACCTCCAGCCCCCAGAGCAGAGGGGGGACGCGGAAACGGGGCGAGGGGAGGGGCGCTGGGGAGTCTGCACTGTGGCTGTGGACCGCAGGGCCGCAGAGGCCGCGACCCTTTGGAAGCGGCGCCCTGGGCCGGAGGGCGGCGGGGGCGGCCCAGCTCCAGGCTGGACACGCACAGGGGCAGGAGAGCCAGCGCCCCCCGAGGACCCCTCCCGGGGCAGGCGGGATGGGGCTTGGGCCCCGCCAGCTAAGGGGAGCGGGGGCCATGGGGCCGGGAAGTGACGGGCAGGTGTGCGTAGCTGGGGGACGGCGGTCGGAGGGACCGCTCCGGGCCGCCCCGTGGACGGTGCGAGACAACGCAGGGACAGACTCGCCAAGGT